ACTGCCTGCTCCTCTGCCTCCCAAGTGTTGGAATTAAAGGTGCGCACCACTGCCTGGCTTGAACATTATTCTTAAAGTTCTAGATAATACAATAAAACAAAATAAGCTGCGCATAGTGATGAAGAGCGGCTGGGAGGGAGGAGGAAGAGGAGGGAGGAGGAAGAGGAGGGAGGAGGAAGAGGAGGGAAGATAGAGGAAGGAAGAACTTAAACTGGAAAAGCAAAAGCACAGTTGCTTTTTTGCAGATGATACTATCGTCTACAGAAACCATGAGGAATCTACAAAAGGTTACCAAAATGCAAACCAGGTTTTTTTTTAAATTTATTTATTTCTTAGAAGATTTATTTATTTATTTATTATGTATACAGTGTTCTGCCTACAAGCCAGAAGAGAGCCCCAGATCTCACTTCAGATGGTTGTGAGCCACCATATGAGTACTGGGAATTGAACTCAGGACCTCTGGAAAAGCAGTCAGTGTTCTTAACCTCTGAGCCATCTCTCCAGCCCCCGAAAACCAGGTTTAACAAGGTTGCAGACACATGGCCAATACACAAACCCACAATTTCACTTTATATACTAGCATTAAATAACTGTAAAGAAATGAAAACTGAACATGGTGGCACATCCTGCAATCCTAGCACCTGGGAGGTGGGAGCATGACAGTCATAGTGTAGGCCAGCATGTGTAGCTGGAATTCTTTGGGGCAGCACCCAGCTCCCAAATAAACACACAGAGACTTGTTATCAATTATGAATGCTTGGCCTTAGCTTAGGCTTGTCCCACAAGCTCTTTTAACTTAACTTAACCTATTTTTATTCATCTATGTTTTTGTCTCAGGGCTTTTTATCTTTCTCTCATTCTATACGTCCTACTTTCCTGCTTCCTCTGTGGCTGGCTGGCTGGCTGGTCCCTGGCATCTCCCTGGTGTCTCTTTTTCTTTCTTCCCCAAGCCTAAATTCCTCCTTCTACTTACCCTCCCTACCTGGATTTCCACCTATACCTCCTCCCTTGCTATCAGTTGGACATCTTTTTATTAACCAATCAGGTGCCTTAGGTAAGGTAAGGTAAAGCACATCTTTACATAATTAAACACATTTTTGCATAGTTAAACAAATATTCCAAAACAGCATGGCTACATAGGAGGAGGCCTGTGTCAAAACCCAAAAATACACAAAACCTATAAATACAGTAGCATTCTCAATAGAATATACTTAAAGAAATTTAATCAAGCCAGGCAGTGGTGGTGCACATCTTTATTCCCAGCACTTGGGAGGCAGAAGCAGGCGGATCTCTGTGAGTTCAAGGCCAGACTGGTCTACAGAGTGAGTTCCAGGACAGTTTGTTACACAGAGAAACCCTGTCTCAGAATAAGAGAGAGAGAGAGAGAGAGAGAGAGAGAGAGAGAGAGAGAGAGAGAGAGAGAGAGAGAGATTTAATCAAATGTGTCCATGACCTACACACTTAAAACTATAAGACACTACTGAGAAAAGCCAAAAGATCTGAGTAGGTGTCGACATGCTTAAATGGGAAGGTCACAAAGAAATGACTGTTCTCTTCCAATGACCTGTGGGCTATACTCAGTCCCCATTATTCCCAGCAAGCTCTTATGTAAGACTTTTTTAAAGGATACCTTGGGGGGGGGGGGATGAGGGGTGGAGAGAGGTAAGCGCTGCTGTAGTCCAGGCTGGCCTTGAATTCAAACAATCCTCCTGCCTCAGTCTCCTGTAATCCGGGGTTTTATGGAGGAGTTACTGCACCTGACTAGAACTATAAAATTTACCCCTAGAAGAGATGGCTCAGTCATTAGAGTACTTATTATGTAAGCGTGAGGACCCGAACATGGATCCCAGACACCCAGTTAAAAGCCAGCTGTGGCAGCGCGTCTGTAAGCCCAGCACTAGGGCAAGTGCACAGCTAGTTCTGTCAATCAGTGAGCTTTAGGTTCAACAGCCCTACCCCCCAAAAATAAAAACAGAGCCAGACATATGGCATTCGCCTTTACTCCCACACTCAGGAGGTGCACACAGGCAAGCTGTATCCAAGGCCAGCCTGGTCTACATAGGAAGTTCCAGGACAGCCAGAGCTACATAGAGAGTCCCTGTCTGTCTCAAAACAAACAAGCAGGCCAGGCTATGGTGGCGCACACCTTTAATCCCAGCACTCGGGAGGCAGAGGCAGGCGGATCTCTGTGAGTTCGAGACCAGCCTGGTCTACAGAGCTAGTTCCAGGACAGGCTCCAAAGCCAGAGGAAACCCCGTCTCGAAAAACCAAAAAAAAAAAACAAGCAAACAAAAACAAAACCACAAAAGTGGAGAGCAACAGAGGAAAACACCTGATATCAACCTCTGGCCTCCACATACACACAAACAGATATAGACACACAAGTTACCAGGAGACTCAAGGCTGGACCATAACTTTACAGCAAAGCCTTTACCACCCCATACCAATAAACAAACAAACAAAATCAACATAAAGACACAAAGGACCAAAACTTAGACCATCTGCTTGTTGCACCACAAGACCCAGCCATACGTTTTTTAAGACTGAGGACTTGGCAGATAGCTTGGGGGTAAGAGCACCTGCACACAGCATCCCCAACACCAATGTAAAAGGCAAACACAGACCTAGAACTGGGTGTATGCAGAGTCAGGAGACTCACTAGAGCTTACTAGCCAGCCTAGCTCAAAATAAAACAAAACACCAGCAAGCTCCAGTGAGAGCCATTGGCTCAGGGTGATAAACCAGAACACTGATGCCTTTCTCTGGCCTCAACACACACGACTGGAGCAGTTGTGAGCTCACGACCACCTCTACCTGCAATTCCAGGGTATCCAACACCCTCTCCTGGCCTCATGGGCACGTGCACACAAGGACACACTCACACACAGACACAACTACACATACACATGAATAAAATCAAGGTGCTGGCTGGCCACTCAGGAGGCAGAGGCAGGCAGAGCTCTGTGAGTTTAAAAGTAGCCTGTTCTAAATAGTGAATTCCAGGACAGCCAGGACTACATAGTGAGACCCTGTCTTCGTCCACCCCCAAAAAAATGGGGGTGGAGGAGGTGAGCAGCTGGAGGTCTAGGTGGCTCCATGGTTAAGAGCACTTGCTGCTCTTGCAGAAGACCAGGCTCCACTGCCTGCACCCAAGGGTGGTCACAACCATCCATAACTCCAGATCTAGGGAATCTGATGCCCTCTTCTGACATCCAAGAGTACCAGTCTATATGCGGTTCACAAAACACATGCAGGCAAAACATGCATAAACATAAAGTAAGTAAGTCTAAAAAAAAACATTTAATTAAAGGAAAACATCTTTAAAAAAAGTTACAGAGTTCAAAACAGTATGTATTTGCAATAGGCTTATAGATACACAGAATAGAATCCACAAATTCACCTTTGTGCATACTTAAAACAATTTGATTTTTAACAATGGTAGAGATAATTTAAAGGGACTCTTATCAACAAATGGCACTGGAACAAGGACACCACAAACAAAAGTGAACCTTAACACAATTAACACGTACAACCAGCCTCAGCATTAGTCAGCACAAGTAAATGGAAGCCATAAAGCTGTCCCACCGCACACTCAGTAGAAAGGTTAAAATCAGAGTGACAGGCAATACCACGTGCTGCTGTGCGTGTGCACCAACCAAAGCTCTCAGACACTGTGGGGGATGAAAGACATAACACAGGTTTGCACACAAAGCTAAATACACACTGACCACACAACCTAGCAATTCCACTCAGGAGAATTTACCAAAACCCTGAAAATGTCCTTACACACTCTACATGAATCGTATAGCTTTAAGCTAGCATCCAGGCTGTGGATTCTAGGACCACATCCTAAATGACCCCAGATTCCTACCTGCTGACACGTGTCCCCTTTTGTGTTCCTTCCCCTAGATTATGGGTGGAATCTGTGACTTGCTCCTGCCAAGAGGAGGCCAAAGAGGACAGGATACATGTAATTACATTAATGTGGGCAAGATACAAGACTACGATTTCCTTTAATCCATGCACTCTGAAGGCAGGGACAACTGGATCTCTGGGACTTCAAGACCAGCTTGATCTACAAAGCAAGTTCCAGGACAACCAGGGCTACATAATAGAAAGATCCTTGTCAAAAAATACATAAATAGATAAAAGAAACATGTTGTTTTGAACCTGCCAAGTTTGTGTAGTACTGTTACAGAGCAATAGAAAACTAATGCAATCCAAACGTCCATCAGCTAGCGTACATGGTGAACTATGCCTTAGTCGTAAATTGTTGGAGGGGCTGGAGAGATAGCCCGGACAAGAACATACTGTTCTTGCAGAGGACCTGAATGTGGTTCCCATCAGCCACATAAGTAGCTCATAACCAGTTGTAACTCTGGGTCCTGGAGCCCTGATGCCCGAGACTCCACAGGTACCGGCACTTACATATGCACACACACAATTTAAAAAATAAAACACCACCAGGGGGTGGTGGCTTACACCTTTAATCCCAGCACTCAGAAAGCAGGAGGATCTCTGTGAGTTCGAGGTCAGCCTGGTCTAAGGAGCAAGTTCCAGGACAGGCTCCAAAGCTACAGAGAAACCCTGTCTCAGGGGACGGGGGAGGGGGGATTTAATTAATTAATTAAATAAAACACCAAAAATAAATTTAAAAAAAAACTAGCAAAATTATAAAAAAAAAAAAAAGCCACTCACTTAGAAAATTACCTTACAACTGGGCATAGTGGTGCATGCCTTTAATCCTGGCACTCCAGAGGCAGGTGGAGTTCAGTGGGTCAGTGAGTTCAAGGCCAGCCTGGTCTACAAAATGAGTTCCAGAACAGCCAGGACTGTTACACAGAGAAGCCCTGTCTTGGGGGAAGGAAAAAAAAATTACCCCTACATAGCAATATGATAGTCACTACCTTAACCAAGCAACCAAACTTATCCCCAACAATAAAAAGACTGTGTCACATGACTCCAGAGACAAGTCAAGAGAACACAATTTATATATTTATATATATAATAAAAGTATATGTAATATACTTTTACATACAGACTACAAAAAACTAGACTTTGCCATCATGAAAGAGCAAGTAGAATCTGCTGGCACCAACACTGGCACTTATCATGAGCAATCATGGCATCTTTTCAATTTTCAAGAGAAATTACTTCAAAACGAAGAAAAAACAGCTTCACTAAAGCAGGGGTCAACACACAAAACCACACAGCGAAGGCTGTGATGAGGCTTACAGAAAGCACTCCACCATCTACGAGTGCAGGTCCAGAAGGATCGAGGGGATAGCAATGTGCAACACTTGTGTCAGGGACATAAATGACCCCTTCATCCTCAGAGCAACCCTGAGATAGCCGCTGGCCTTTTTTCTACTTTACCAAGGCAGGCAGAGGATGGAAAGTTAGGTAACTGGCCAGCTCTCAGGGCTGGTGCCTACTGGCGAGATTACCAGGCCAGGGAGATGAACTTCAGCACCTTACAGCACCTCGCAGGCAAAGAGGGTTCTTCACCACCAGAAACCAGAGACGATACCACGAGTCCAACTAAGGAAGTTTCTTAGAGGAAAACGCTAGTGCAGTCCCACAGGTCTATAAACCATGCCGTCAGGCCAGGGGGATTACTCAACAGCCCTTTCCGTACCTCTCTGCCCATATGAAGAAATATGCCAGGCAAATGTGGTGCGCACTGGCTCTCCTGAAATGCACACTTAATTGGGCTAGAGAGAGGACTCAATGGCTAAGAAAGCCTAGGTTTCAGTTCCCAGCACCCATAAACAGACACAGGCCCATAATCCCAGAACTGAGAAGTTCAACCCCTAGGACCCACATAAACAGACACAGGCCCGTAATCCCAGGAGCTTCTACAAAGATAGAAGGCTTGCTAGGGCTCACTGGCCAGCCAGTCTAGCCAAGCCATAAGTTAAAGGTTCAGTGAGAGACCCTGCCTCAAAAAGATAAGGTAGAAAAAGTAAATAAAAAAGGTAGAGAGTGTGGCCTACAGAGGGCTTGGCAGCTACAGCAGGAGCTGCTCTTCGAGGACACAGACTTGACCCTCAGCTTCCACATGGGGCTTCAGCACAGCTCCAACTCCACTTCCAGGGGTAAGAAGCTCTTCTAACACCTGAGGCGCTAAGACACACAGACTGCAAAGACAAAACACCATGCACATACATAAAGAGCAACTGAGGAACACATCTAACTGACCTCTAGACAGCTTGACCTCTGACCTACACACACCCACCCACCCCCNTCTCTCTCTCTCTCTCTCTCTCTCTCTCTCTCAAAATATAACAGCTGGGTATAGTGGCTTTTAATCTCATTTTAATAAATGCTTTTTAATCTCAGCACTCAGGAGGTGGAGCCAAGTGGAGCTTGAAACCAGCCTGGTCTACATAGTGAGTTCCAGGCCAACTCACAGCTACAGAGTTAAGACTATGTCTCAAAAAAAACAATTAATTGGTTAACTAATTAATGAAAAGATTTTCTAGGGGCTGGAGAGATGGCTCAGAGGTTAAGAGCATTGCCTGCTCTTCCAAAGATCCTAAGTTCAATTCCCAGCAACCACATGGTGGCTCACCCATCTGTAGTGGGGTCTGGCGCCCTCTTCTGGCCTGCAGGCATACACACAGAAAGAATATTGTATACATAATAAATAAATAAATAAATATTTTTTAAAAAAAGATTTTCTAATTAAAATTGAGGCTGGGAGTGTAGCTCAGTAGGTAAAATGCCTCCTTTGCATATACAAGGTCCTATCTCAGTCTCTATCACCAACAGGTTAGTGGCACATGCATGAAGTCTCACTTGTTTTAAAGTGTGTATTTGCAGCTTGCTGTTAGTGACAGAGCACAACAGAAAGCTCAACTTTTTCCTCAGGCTGCCAGCACATTCTGATGCAATCCTGTCTCTCTCAGCTTTGGAAAGGAGGGCAAAGGAGCAGCAGAGCTCAAACCAAACAAGTGCTGCCAAACCCTAGAGACCTTGGACCCTCCAGGCCAGCCTGGTCTACAAAGCAAGTTCCAGTTCAGCCAGGACAGGACAGTTACACAGAGAAAAGAGAAACCCTGTCTCAAAACACCGGGGGGAGAGAGAGAGAGAGAGAGAGAGAGAGAGAGAGAGAGAGAGATTGATTGATTAGCTACTACCTTCCACACGTACAAGAAACAGAGGAACCCTTCCTTAAGCACCCGAAGGGTTCCAAGTGGGAAGACTGTTGGTAGCCTTCGTAAAATGGCAAAGTATCTTGGAGGAGGCAGAAACTGTGGGCGCATTTCAATCCCATTCCTAAGCAGTTCAAGAAAATTCAGGCACCGAGGTAGTTGATCAAACTAGGTGGGACAACACCAGGAAAGGAGATCCTTCTTTCAGACACCCCAGAGTCCAGAACCCTGGGCAATGAGGAGTCCAGAATCAATTAGGAGTTCCTGTTTCTGTCTTACAGCACCCACATCGGCCTGAATTACACATACCACTAACAGAGGCCGGTCTAAGTGTCCAACTCCTTTAAGTGGGATCCCTCTGATTGGCTTATCACCAGCAGTAAGACAACAAGAAATATAAGTGCTAGCCCTCTGCCTAGGAAGGAAGTGAAATACTGGTGAGTGGCTGAAAACTCTCAAAGGTGCTTAAGCCTCCCGGGCCATGTGTTTTTCTTTTCAGGTCTATCCTAATTAAATTTAAACACAGATGGCCAACTAAAGGAGTCCCACACAGTGCGGGCTGAAATCAAGACTAGGTGGGGCACAGGATTTAGGGCCCGTTGCAAAACTCTGCCACCCACTTCTGCACTTTGCAAAGGGCAGACAAGAGTTAGCTAAAAAGCACTACTCGGTGGCCAAAGAGATGGCTCTGCAGTTAAAGGTATTTGCTGCCAGGCCGGAGGACTTGAGTCCCATCTTCGCCATTCACAAGGTGGAAGGAGAGGAACGAGAAACGACTCCCGCAAAGTTGTCCTCCAACTTCCCCCAGTGCCACGGCTTGCGCATATTCACAGAAATAAAACAAAATTAAAAGTAAACATAGCCTGACTTCTGCAAGGACAACGTTCAAGCAGTAAGTGGGCTGTCCCTTAACATCGCTCCTCATCCCAAGCCTCCTGGGCATCATGACCTCCCCACCGCAGAAGCCCAAGCAGCAACCCTGCCCCATAACCGAAGCGGGGTTTGCTCCCGTCTACAGGTGAAGAACTCGGAGGGGAGTCCTCGGCCAAGAAAACCGAACCGAGAAGCAGAGAAGCGCGGGTTGGGTCCTCAGCCAAAATCTCGGTTGCGTCTGTTATTGACACTCCGTCCACTCTCCACGCACGCACAGAGAGCGAAGAAGTCCTCGGAGCGACCCTCCAAGTTGGCAAGGGAGCCCCCAGGGGACCGAAGACCAAGAGGCCGCCACTGGAGGGGCCGCGGCGGCGGGAGAGGAGTCGTCGGGCCCCTCCCCACGGGGGGGACAGCCGGGTACCAGCACCTTCTCCACCTCGCCTCCGACAGGGCCCTCACATCAGTGCTCCGAGGTCCCAGCCGGGGCCCGCCGTCCCCCACGACCAAGTCCAGCGGGCTCCTAGGGGGCCTGAGGCCGCGGCCAAGACCCCAACTCCGAGATGTGGGAAGACAGGGGTCACCGGGGCAGGAGCCGGGCGCCGAGGACCCCAGAGGGGCGGGGCCCGGAGGAGAGACCGCGTCGGGGGACCTCGGCTTCCAGGACTCGGGTCGCCACCCCAGTGCCAGCCGCGCGCCGAGCGCCGCGGCGGCCCCGGTCCCCGCCACTCGCGGCAGGGCAGTCCCACTCCCCTCACCTGGCTCGGCTGCTCTGCCTGCTCCGAGGACGCCATCTTTCTGAGACCTGACTAATCGACCGCCGCTGGCCCGAGTGTCTCCCGAGAGCGCTCGCTCTGGCTCTCCAGGCAAGACCAAAGTAGAAGGACCTGAGCCTGTCGATGTGGGCGGGCTCCGGGCAGAAAGGGTTGAGCCTGGTGTCAGGGTTACCTTGCAGGTTACAGAAAAGCCCATGGTCCCCATTCTCTATTTCTAATATAATATCTTTTCTTGTGGTTTTACATTGTTACTATGTTGACTTTGGGGTTTAGTCACATCCACTTTCAACTCCTTCCTCTCACTCTCCCCACATGGCCCACCAGGTTCCCCTTCTTTTTATTTTTTTGGGTTTTTTTTTTGTTTTTTGTTTTTTTGTTTGTTTTTTGTTTTTCGAGACAGGGTTTCTCTGTAGCTTTGGAGCCTGTCCTGGAACTAGTTCTGTAGACCAGGCTGGTCTCGAACTCACAGACATCTGCCTGCCTCTGCCTCCCGGGTGCTGGGATTAAAGGCGTGCGCCACCATCGCCCGGCCCCCTTCTTTTTAAAAATAAATTTATCGCCGGGCGGTGGCACGCCTTTAATCCCAGCACTCGGGAGGCAGAGGGAGGCAGATCGCCAGCCTGGTCTGGAAGAGCTACTTCCAGGACAGGAACCAAAAAAAACTACGGAGAAACCCTGTCTCGAAAATAAAAATAAATAAATAAAATAAATAAATAAATTTACATGTTTGGTTATTTAAAGGGGATTTTCATTTGTTTTCCTTTTCTAGACAAGGCCTCATGTAGTTCAAAATAGCCTCAAACTTCCTATGTAGCCCAGGATGAACTCCTGATCCTCTTGCCTCCACCTCCCAAAGCTGAGATTACAGGTGTGCACCACACACACATTTTAATTCTTGAATTAAAACTCTCCCTATTCTCAGAGCACCGTGGTCACATTTAGGGACTATTTATTTAGTAAACAATTATAGTGGCAATTGGAGTCCAAGGTGTCAGCCACCAGGCTACTCTCTGATGACTGAATCTCATTTAGGCAAGGCCATGGGAGTACAGACCCCAGAATGTCTCCGGGTCCCAGAAAAACCATACCCTAACTTGGTCCCACCTCTTAAAGATAATTAGTTAACAAGACTTCCCTGTCATATGAATGCATGTGGGTTCCTGGGATAGTTTGTTTTTCACCTGTAGTACATAAAATGTTTAGTCATGTAAGGGATATGAAAAACATATTTTTTTTTACTGTTTGTGTGGCATTCTTTGCAATCATTCACTCTAAAAATGGAATGTAACCACATTTT